GTTAGATCACATCTAAAATATTGTTTATATGGGAATTACATTTTAAGAGATGCAATGGAATAATGCTATAAGGAACAACTAGAATGGTGAAAGGAGCATAAATCATATCATATGAACATAGAATCATAATTTAGAGCCAAGAAGGTACTTAGAGATCATCTGTTCTGACCTCTATTTTAGAGAAGGAAACTGAGCCCAAAGAGGTTAAGTGATTTGCATAAGATCATATAGGTAATAAGTAGCACAACTAGGATTCAAACCCAAGGCTTTTCCACCGTGCCATTCTGAGTAGTGGTTGAAGGAACTGTGAATGTTTAACTGGACAAAAGAAGATTCAGAGGGTATGTGACTATTTTCATTTTAGTAGCTAGGGACACTTGTAGATTGGTATAGTTTTAGGGGTAGTGAGTACATGTAGGGAGTTTGATAGCTGCGGATGCACCTCAACAATTCAACTAGATGGGTGTGGGAGTTGCTTGCAATATATTATAATAGGGCTGAGTATCAGAAGGCAGTTTGTGATGGAGCTAGGTCTCATTATTCTACAGTGATGGAGTACAATTTTTGAGAGTAAATATGAGAAAGAGAACTGGATGCCTCACAACACAGAAATAGCCATGTCTACTCGGAAAGTCCAGGCCCCCTGCCCCATGGGGTTTTGTGTCTCTCTAAATGGTTTGGTCTTCTTGATTGAGATTTGAGGAACCATCTTGTCTATTTCCCAAAGACAGTGCCAGCCAAGGACTACCATTAGTAGTGTCTGTGTGGGTCTCTAAAAGCAGTTGGTAAAGAGAGCCAGGACACTAGTATTCAGCAAGGAGAATTTGCCTTACATGTGAAGAGTGTCCATGTGCTCAGCTGTCTGCTGCTTGTGCAAACATATCCAGGGGTCTGCCTGGTAGGGCATCTAGAATCTTGACATTTTAAATATTGGATGGGTTGTCATGCCAAAGAGAGATTATATTTAGTATATTTAGTATATATTTAGTAACATGTAGAAAATAGAATATTCTTTTTTTTTTTTTTTTTGCTTTTTGGTGAGGCTGTCGAGGTTAAGTGACTTGCCCAGGATCACATAGCTAGTAAGTGTTAAGTGTCTGAGGCTGGATTTGAACTCAGATCCTCCTGACTATTCACTGTGCCACCTAGCTACCCCCATTTTTTTTCTATAATTTTTTTTTTATTAATTTCAACCTCTTCTTGGAATGATCCTTTTACTTTCTTCTTTTTTTTTTTTTGGCTAGGCCATGGAGTTAAGTGATTTGCCCAGGGTCACAGAGTTAGTAAGTGTCAAGCGTCTGTGGCCAGATTTGAACTCAGAGTCCTCCTGACTCCAGGGCCAGTGCTCTATCCACTGTGCCACTTAGCTGGCTCAGAAAATAGAATATTCTTTATCAGTACCACCTCCTCTTAGAATTCTTAGCTATTTTCAAGTCCAACTCAGATACTATCTCCAACAGGAAACCTTTCCAGATTCACTTATTAGAGCTGTATTCTGACTCAAATTATAGTGGATTTAATTTATCTGTTTAAATATTGTATCCTCTCAGTAGAAGCTCCTTAAAGGCAGGAACTATTTTTTATTTTGCATTTGCACCACCAGTGCCTTACACTCCACACATAGTAAGTACTTAAGAAATGCTTGTTGACCAACCTTCCTTTCCTCTTATTTTTAACCTCTACCTTTTGAAAGTAGATCTTTTCAACGCCATATTGAACAAGCCACTTGGAGTCTTATCTATAGGACAACTGAGGCAATTTAAACCTATTTAGTGATGTCTGACTGTTTTTTCCTATCTTGTAGTTTTTCTAAGAGATTTGGAGGAGTCTTAAACAAGTAGTTATCAAGGTTTCACAACTACCTAAATTCCAAGAACTGAACTAGTTGTTATATTCAAGGGCTGTTTGTAGAAATATTCAACACTGGAAGAACAAAGGTCAAGAATATCAAAAGAACTAATGGAAAATATTGTAAAAGAAGGAGGTTCAGCAGTACCAGATCTTTATATTATAAGGCAGTAATTATTGAAACTATCTGGCAATGGTTAAGAAATAGGAACGTAGATCAGTGGCACTGAGTAGACATGCAATTTACAGCAGCAGACCAACATAGTAACTTGGTGTCTGATAAGTATAAAGATTTAAGTTTTAGGGATAAGAATTCATCATTTGGTAAAAATTGTTGGGAAAGCTAGAAAGCAGTCCGGCAGAAATTGGGCATAGACCAATATCTTACATCAATTACCAAGGTAAGGTCAAAATGGATATACTAACCTAGATATAAAGGGAGGTAAATTACAAGAAAATTTGAAGAACATGGAACATATTACCTATCAGACTTATGGATAGGTGAACGATTTATGAACAAAGAGATAGAGAGCATTGTGAGATGTAAAATGAGTAATTTTGATTACATTAAACTAAAAAGGTTTTGTACAAATAAAACAAATGTAGCCAAGATCAGAAAGAAAGCAGAAAATTGGGAAAAAGTTTTATAGACAGTTCCTCAGATAAAGGTCTCATATCTTAAATATACAAAGAATTTTATCAAATCTTTAAGAATTTGAGTCATTCCCCAACTGACAAATAGTCAAAGGATATGAACAGGGAGTTTTCTTATGAAGAAATCAAAAAGATTTATAGTCATATGAAAAAATGCTCAAAATCATTATTGATTTGAGAAATGTAAATTAAAACAATCTTGAAATACCATTTTACACCTATCAGATTGGCTAAAATGATAGAAGGGGAAAGTGACAAATGTTGGAGGGGATGTGGAAAAACTGGGACCTTAATTCATTGTTGGTGGATCTGTGAGCTGATCCAACCATTTTGCAGAGCAATCTGGAATTATGCCCAAAGAGTTATTAAACTGTCTGTGCCCTTTGACCAGTAATATCACTATTAGGTATATTTCCCAGATGACTAGGGAAAAAAGGAAAAGAACTTATGTGTTCCAAAATATTTATAGCATCTCTTTGTGGTGGCAAAGAACCGGAAATTGTGGGGATGCCTGTCAATCGGGGAATGGCTAAACAAATTGTAGTATATGTTCGTGATAGACTATTAATTACTCTGCTGTAAGAAATGATGAGCTCGATGATTTTAGAAAAGCATGGAGACACCTGTACAAAGTAAATTTCTAACTATTACAAATACCCAAATTAACTGCAAAAAGCCTATGAAGATGCTGTTTACATCCAGAGAAAGAGCTGACATGTATGTGTGTGTGTGTCTGTATATGTGTGTGTGTGTGTGTGCGTGCATATATGCATATTTGTGTCTAATAGAAACTATCTCTAGGGTGAGGGGTAAAGGAGAAGGGAAAAAAAGGAAGTTATATGATAACTTTGTTATATATTTGAAAAGAATAGAAAGTTGTGCATAATAAATCTGCAGTTTCAGGTGCAATCCTCTGTTTTTTTAATTCTATTTTGTTATAGAAATGCTTGTTTTAATTCTTAAGTTCAGAATAAAGAAAAGTTAAAAAAAAAAAAAGAAAAAGTTAACACAATGAAAGTCCAGTCATCATTTCAATAGTCACAACAAATCAATGCATACTCTCCACAAAAAACTGAAAGACAGCACAGCTTCAACATCTCAGCTCCTCTATTGTTAATAACCCCCACTCCCATGTTCCTTCTCTCTCCATGTCTCCATCCCCCATTCATTATCCTGTGAAGTGATTTAGTAAGAGAAACTACTACCACTTACTCTCCCTCCATCATAAGAATTTCCAAGTTTTGTTGTGACACAATGTGGTATGTTGGCTTTTCTTTAACAAAAAAAAAAAAAAAAAAAAAGCTTGTTTAATTGAAATTACAAAGAGGCAAATTTCTGCTCAGTAGAAGGGAAAATTTCCTAACCATAACAGGTATTTTAGAATAGGATCAACATATCAACAAACAATTAAGTACCTTCTATGTGCTAGGAACTATGCTATGTATTAGGTAAACAAAATTGTGAAGGTCCCTGTCATCTGTCCACAGACAAGTGAAAACACAGGTCATATTTATAATAAATACAGTGATTTGGCAAGGAGGCACTAAAAACTGGGGGAATCAGGAAAAAGGAAATGGTGTGCAAGTTGAACCTTTACAGGACCTAGGGGTTCCAAGAGGCAAAGGTGAGAAGAAAGCATTCCAACATGGCAAAGCCTATACTAAGAATGGAGTTGTGAGACAGAATGATGTGTATAGAGAATAGCAAACAGGCCAGTTGAGCTGTGTGTAAATGGGGCAAACAAAACACATAATCAGCCTAGAAGGGGAGGCTGGAGCTATATACTGTGAAGAGTTTTAAATGGCAGAGAGAAGTTTGTTTTTCCTAAAAGTAGTGGTGTGCCACTGAAGCTTCTTCAACAGGAGAGATGTGGTCAGACCTTCACTTGAGGAATATTGCTTTGGCAACTATGTGAGGGATGTATTGGAAAGGGGAGAGGTGATGAGGATCTGGACTGAAGTGATCCTAGCATGAATGCAAAGAAGGGGACAGATGGTAGAGATAGTGAAAAAGTGGAATTGCTAAAACTGGACATAGCAAGGTAAATGAGAGGGAAGAGGCATAGTTGAATGAGATTTTGAACCTTGACAACTAGAAGAACAGAGATGCCTTTGAATGTTTGAACTTATGAAGTTGTGAGCTCCTCCTTGTAAGGAAGTATTCAAACAGATACTGAATAATTGTTGAAGATATTTTAGACAGGACTGATGCATTGGGCAGATGGGATCACTTAAACAGACAACTTCTAAAGTTCCTTCCAATTCAATGATTCATACTTACCACAGTAGTATTTATGAAAAGTCTTCCCATTTCATGCATGAGGGGGAAAAGTTTCAGAAGGAAACTGCCCATAGTTCTATATCATAGCAGTAGTGGAAAATGAACTGGAACCAAGAGATTCTGATATAGTTGACCATTCAAGACATTTCTCTTTCTTGGGAACTCCCTGAAATGATCCTGATTGACCCTTCTGCCCACATTACTCTAAGAAAACTCACCTTGACTTGACTTTGCTCCAGACATTGATTCTCCTTCTCCTCTATCTCTTGCTTGATGCTGCAGGAACCCCCATCAGAACTCATCTTTCCTAACCACTGAATATTGGTCAGGCTATCATCCAGAAGACAGCCTGCTGCCTCACTTCCAGCTGTTGAAGAAATAAATCAGGGAATCTCTTTACCTGCTTGCCAGCTGTTCCAGTAGCTAGGTCTCCCTGATATCCAAACAGACAGTTGAGGAACATTCCCACAGTATTCAATACTTTGGAATCAGGGAGTCTGTGAATCTAAGATGGCCCTCAGTTGCTTTGTTCCATTCTAGATTTTGGGAGAAATTCAGAAGCACAGTTCAACTTGGATCTTAACTCAAGCCACTCTGAAAACAAGGCAATTTAATCTTACCAAAAAGCTACTCACTCAAGATAAGTTGCTTTCTGTCCCTGTACTTCAACATAAACTAAAAACTAATCTTATCCTCTTTGCAAGATCAACTTAAAGAATAATAAACACAGGAAGTCCTTTATCAAATTAAGAAGGGATATGGAAATACTAAATTTTAATAGCAGTCTCAGAACCCAGTTGCTAAGAACCAAGGTTTCAGGATCAAAAAACAGATTAATTTCTATTAGAGTTTCAGGCTAGATGTGACACATCCTAGGCATTAAATGTCTAGTAAATGCAATGTAAACAAAAACCCTGTCATCAAAGATAGTTTCCCACTGTTCCATTTTGTCTGGTAATGTATGCCAAGCCTCCCCACCTACTTGTTTTATAGATTACATACCACAGCCCTCCAGCTCCCATCCCCGACTGGAATGGGCTCCTAGTGGTCTGGGTAGGGTCACATCTCTAGTCACAGGTTTTGGTCCCATGCTCTCAGCTGCCACTTCTGCCCTCTTGCCCACTTCATCTCCTTGGTTTGGGGGCTGGGATCCAGGAGGATGGGCAGGGGCCCGTCCACTGCTAATAAGGATGAATTTGTTGGGCCCATTGCTACCACTCTCTTTCCCTTTGGCAGTCAGAGCTGCAATGATGCTCTGGATATCTGTGTTGGTGGGAACTGCTACCACTTGGGTGTTTGGCATGGTGGGATGGTTGATGATCTTGATGCCTGTTGGAAACTTCTGAAGATCAGGTCCTGCCACCTCCTTGGACAGCTGTGTTTGGCCAGACTCCTGTTGAGCAGGAGTCCCTTTGGGCTCTTCCTTTGCTCCTTCACTTGGGGCATCACGGATAGGAAGGGGGACTTTCCGTCTCTTGAGAATCAGGGGCCGATGGGGGCTAGTTTTCATCATGAATCTGTGCAATTGCTCTCCATTGAAAACAAGAATAGAACCTATAAAGAACAAGGGACAGTTTGACATGGACTGTGAGGTTGAGAAAAAAATGCTTGTAGAGAAAGGTGTTCCTTTTCACAAGAGCAAATCTTGATAATCAGAATGAATCCAGAGAATTGTTATGCTTCTGTGACAAAAGAATTAGTCTCCACTAAACAGAAGTCAATTTTAGTCAAATATTAACCACCCATTGGTAGTACAAGGCACTACACTCTGGCACAAGATCAAACTAGAAAAAGTCCCTGTCCTTGAGTGCTGACTTCAAACCCACCAAGACCTGGGTTTGAGTCCCACCACTTGCAAATACTGGTTTTGTAACTCTGGACAAGTCACTTAGTTTCTCATATTCTAGGCAATAAGGCCATAAATTATAAAGATGGTTTTCTCATCTGGGAATTCCCTGAACTATTGAAATTATAGGTCCAGTCCTTGTCCCTATGGTGACCAAAGTAAAAGTAGGTATGTCTTCTTGTTTAATCTACTCTTACAGGAACTGGCTAGAAAGGGAATAATTAGTTTCTGGAAGATATTTTCTCCTAGGCATCAACATTAATATTTTTCTGATTGGCAAATCAAAGCCCTCCAGCTTATACTCTGTATCTTAAGTTTTACTTTGCCATGGAATTGTGTCTTATTTTACAGCTACTATTAAATGTAAGTTAAAAGTTGCTTCAGTTAAATTATTCTAATTAGTAGAAGGAATTCTGAATCTTTCTCTAAAAGTACAAATGCATGTATATTAATACATTTTCTGACAGGAAGAAAAAAAAAAGATAAAGTCCTGGTCTGTAAGGAACATTCAATCTAGTGGTAAGGAAGCAGATCACTGAAGCAAATGAAATGAAAAGTGAGACCTAAGCTCCTGGCTAAGTTACATTTATTGGCAAAATAAATGAACTTGGATCTTCCAAAGCCAGCACTATCTCCACTATGGCTTGCTGTTTTTGGTAGGAACATTTTCTTGATATAACCCCAGGGGTTAGAAAATTCAGATTAAAGTTGTTACAATAAACTTTCAGCCTTAAGACAGTATCGGGGGGGGGGGTAGAATGGAGATTTTTATTTATTGTATCCTGGCATAGAGGAAAAATGATGGATTTGGAGTCAGACAACTTGGATTTGAATTCTGTTTCTGCTATTCCTTAATTATATGACCTTGTGAAAATCATAACCTTAGAGAATTTCTGATAGTTGAAAGGGACCCCAAAGGCCATCTAATCCAATCTATACCTCATCTCAAAACATATTGGACAAGAGGTCATCCAGCTTTCATTTGCAGATTTCCACTGAGAAGGATCCCACCACCTTGTAAGGCTTATGTTAGGAAGCTTTTCCTTATATAGTCTAAAATTGGCTCTGAAACTTCTACCAACTAATTACTCTTAGTTCTGCATTCTGAAGTCAAACATAAGTCTAATCTCTCTTCTGCATGACAGTCTTTCAAATACTATTTATGAGGTGATGGGACCTAGACCCCAAAAAGTCCTAAGACCATGTCTAAACAACCCAGAATCCCTGCCGCTTTCCCCCACCCCACGAGAAAATTCTCACCTTGTTGCAGAATACATGCAGACCAGACCCTGTAATTCCTTAGATAAAGGACAGACACAGGGGTGCCTGGCCCAAGGATTTTTGTCTGTAGCTGACCCAAGGACTATCCCTCAAGCCAGATATCCCCAAGGTCCATGCCTCTGGCAGCTAAGCAAAAACTGTCTTTTCTCCCTCAATGTCTGGTATCAACAAAGTTGTCTCTGCTGACTCCCTGAATTTTCCCATTCCTAGATCCTTGACATCTGCTCCCAAAGACACCTGGACCCAATGCATTACCTAATTAGCAGGCTTAACATTGCTTTCCCTACCCCTTTTCTAAGCTTTAGATTCACCACCATTAAGTTGCAAGTTCCCCAAAGGAACTTGGACCGCTACTATTGTGGTTACAATAAAACTTCTGCCACTTGACTAAGAGAAGGCTTGAGTGTGTGAATTTGTTCCAAGCAACTCTGCCTTGGCATTCTTGGGGTCCCAGCACCCCAAATTTCTTCACTATCATATCCCCCTAAGTTTTCTCTTCTCCCAACTAAACATAACCCAGTTCTTCACTGATCTTTGTGTTGTTTTTATCATCTCAATATTCTTCACCATTCTGGCTTATCATCTCATCTCCTTGGGATGGATACTATGTATAGCTCCTAGAACTAAACACAATGCTTCAGATGTTTGCTGATCAAAACCTCTTTGAGCCTCAGGTTCTTCATCTATTAGATGAGAAGGCATTTCATCTCTAAGGCTCCTTTTAGGTCTCAATCTATAAACCCAAAGCAATGCTAGCACTATAGATTTGTATAGAGTTTTAATTTTTTCTAAGTATCTAATATCTATTGCCTCATTTAATTAGTGGAACATCCCTGCAGAGTAGCTATTAGCTTCATTTTAAATTAGGAAAATGAGGTATAGAGAAATGACTTGATCAATTTCTACAAGTTAGTGGCAAGGTCAGAACTAGAATTCAGGTCTCTGATGTTTTCTTCATGCTATGATAGCTGTGTAAGGCTGGAGGAAGGAAACATTTTTTGGCTTGGAACCGTCAAATACTTATTTGAGAAGATTCAACCCTCATATGTATGTCACTACTAGGAAGTGTCATCCTGGAAATCAGAGGAATTCTTTTTCCTAGGTCCCTGCTATGCAATCTGGGGAATCACAACTCTTGACCTTATAGGCATTTGACTAGATGACCTGGGTCTCCCTTGAGCTCTTAACTTTTAATTTCTTGGACCTAAGTTCTCACTTCTTTCAGGTTCCTCCAATTTTACCTTTTCTCCAACCTCTCAAGTTCTACCTTTTAAAAATTGCCCCCCTCCTCTCATAACCACCACCTCCTGCTTCTTTCTTTTCAACATGCCCTTTCCCAAAAGTAAGCCTTATTGCTTCCTTCCACTCCTAAACCTAGTTCAGTTATGGATTCTACTGTACCTGTATGACCCAGTGTTAAAACACTGAAGGGGATACATAAAAGATGAAACAAAATTTAGCTCTCGTCTTCAAGAAATGCGAAACTTAATAATGCACATTTGTAAATAATAGTAATACAGGGTTTCAGGTGCATAATAAACATCAAACAAAATGCTAAGAGGTTTCAACATCCAAGGTCCTTTAGAGAAAGCCCCCCACTGAACAGAGGAGGCCACGATACACCCAAGGGAGTGGGAGGCCGGAGGTTCTGGGATTGCAGATTTGGTCACTGAGCCCAGCCGGCTCGTAAAGCAGGGGGCTGGGGCGGTACAGGCAGAAAGTGGCCGAGCCGGATCGGGCCCGCAGTGGAAGAGAGCGCTGGCCGCCGGTCCCGGTGCAGTGTCAGGCCCGGCCGCACCATCTCCTGGGGTTGCGGCACCTCGGGGACGGCCTCCTCCGGATCATAAGGACAGGGAGTCGGGGCCCGGCAGCCGGTGCAGAACTGGCATCCAAGCTCGGGCCCACGACCCTCTCTCCGGGGCTCCCCGCGGGGGCCCATTTTAGGGAGGGCGGCTGCGGAGCCCAGCCCCCTCCCCGGCCCAGGGCTCCCACCCCGCCGGGTTCCCTAGGGCCCTCCCGGGAGGGAGGCACGCCGGGGACTCCCTCCCTCCCCCTTCGGGAGCAGAGCCCACCCCCACCCCGGCCGCCCCCGAGGACCTCTCACCTCAGCACCGCGGCAGCTGCCTCCACCACTGCCCCAGGGCAGGCCTCCCAAGGCCGGGCCTCCCCTTAGCCTCAGCCCGCCGGGGCCGAGCCACGGTCCAGGAGCAGGCCCCGGGCCGCTGGGGGCCGGGTCGGCCAGGTCCCCGGCAGCGGGGGGGATGGGTGGGGTCACCGGGAGGGGGGAGGGGGGAGTCCTAGGCCAGGGGAGGGGGAGGAAGGGGTAAAGGGGGCTTTCAGTTTGTTCCGCGGTTTGAAATTGGCGCCGGCGGAGCGTTGCCGGTCACGTGACGCGGGCGCCGCCAATCGGGGCCGAGCGTCGTTTAAGTGTTCGGGCAGGAACTCGGCCTGGGCTGTCAAGGGGCCGGGGCCAGGGGACTGATAGGCAGGAGCCTCCGGGGTGAGGGAGGAGGGCGGACTTCCGGGGCTGGCTGGGGGAGCTGGGATGCAGGGAGGCAGCGCCAGGTGTCCGAGTCTCGCTCCCCTTTTTACGAGCTCGAGTTTTTGTTCCAGGTGCTTTCTTCATTGGAGGAATTGCACTCATCCAGTGTAAGTGACCATGCTGCTTCCCACCCCCACCCCTTCTTAGAGCACCCCTTCCTTTTCCTGCAGCGCTAATCTGTAGTGTTTCCTTGAGTCCCTCCTGCATTTTCAGGTTGGTGGTTCAGGGACTTAGATGGCAGCCCCCCTTTCACCCTGATAGCGCTGATTAGTTCAGCCGAGTTTGGGTGGGCTTTACTTCCCGGGCCAGTGATCGGTTTTCTTTCCATTCTTGTTTTGTTGTTTGGTCTCTAGGGATGGGTGAGGATCGTTGCCAGTCTCCCCGAGGTATTAACCCAGGCAACATGAGGCTACTCACTGCCCTTCCCTCCTCGATTGTTGATGCCTCCCAGGAAGAAATGCAAAAGCCAGTCCCGGAAATCCCAACTGGCATTCCGAGAAGGGCCTCTGGAGGGACCCAAGCATCCCTATGGATCCCCACAGCCAGCCGCAGCCCTCCCAAGGCATGCTCCAGTCAAACCAATAGACCACAAGACCATCACTTCTTGGGTAGGGCCAGCGACTTCTTACACTAGGTGCATTTGATACTAGACGGCCTTGCAGTACTGTATTTGACCTATATCGGGAGAAAGGTCACCCACCCACTTAGTGCTACACAGGGGCAAGAGACTGTTTCTGTCTATTGCTATCTGCCATTCCTAAGCCATCTATTGAAACTGCTTAACCAACTGCTCTTCCCATAAGTTGTAAAAATGGGTAGATTCAAATATCTTGATGAGGGGAGAGCTAGATAATTGGAGGCTGATCAGAAAATAGCCAGTCAGAGGGAGAATTGTTGACATTTAGACTGGCTTTACTTTGCTCTGCATCTCTTTTTAAAGAGCAGTGGGGAATTTTGGTACATTGTGTTCCTTTTCCTCTCTGGAAGATTCCCCCCCCCCCAAAAATAGACTAAACAGTAGTCTGAAGATTCAGTAGTATATGCTTTTGCTTTAGTGTTCCCTTTTTACTGTTAACCCTGGGTGGCTGGCCTGATAAATCAAGACATTACCTACCCCAATTAGTCATCTAATTCCTTCAGGAACACTTGGGTTTGAACCCACATTCTTCCTTTTCTTTCTCCCAACCACTGATTCAATCAATCAGCAAGCATTTATTAAGAGCTTTAATTAAGTGACAGGCACTGGGATACAAAAAACAATTAAACAATTCCTACTTGGGGAGTTGTTTATATTCCAAAAGATAAAACAACATGTACATGCATATATGTGTTCATATCTGTCTAAACAAACATGCATTCACATATATATGGAAAAATAGAATACAAAGTAGCAAGTAGTTTAGTAGGGAGAGCATTAGCATGTGGGGGGATCTGTACATGGGCAAGGTGGTGCTTAGGTTGTGTCTTAAAAGAAGAGAGGGATTCTAAGAGCAGATATGAAGAGGAATTACATTCAAGGCAGCCAGTGAAAAACATGGAGATAGACTGAGCGTCTTAAGGAACAGAGAAAAGGTCAGTTTTGGCTGGACTGTGGGAGGTGGAATAATGTTCACTGAGGCTGGAAAGATGGTTTGGGACCAGGTTGTGAATGGCTTTAAAAGCCAAAGTTGTTATTTTATCTTAGGGGCAATAGGGACCTGTTAGGGTTGACTGAGTAGGAGAGTGACAAGGACTAGAAAAAAGGTTCCAAGCACTCTTAAAAATGCAGTGTCTGATGTTAAAAGTAGCCTCATGATGGGGAATGGTTTTTTCATTGGTCCCAGATAATGTATATTCTTCTTTAGGTACATTGTTTACTGTTTAATAGCTTGCTACAAAATAACACCCCATACTTGACAGTCTTAACAGTCTAAAGACCAGCTGAAAGAGTTTTGGGTTATGTTGTGAGAAGTAGAAGTTAAGAGCAGGGGCCGGTTTTGGACTTCAGCTTCTGCTTAAAGAGTGCTTTAAAAAATGACTTGTTAGAAGTTGCTGGAAAAGCAATAATCCATACTCTAGGAATAGGGTAGATACCCAATAAAAAATATTAACTCACAAATATATAGTGCTTTAAAGTTTATAAGGTGTTTTTCTCATAAAAATCCTGTAACTTCATAGGTTTTGAACCCAAAGCTTCTGACTCCAAGTCTGGTGCTCGTAGCTGTAGAATATGAACTAAATATGCTGCTGATTTTAATATGGATAGGCTCTCATTTTAGAAAATTTGGGTATTATATCTGTGGCTTCTTGGAGACAAAGCAGTTTTCAGAGGTGTTTGTGGGTCTGGGCTGACTGCTTCTGTTTGTTTCTTAGGTATCTCCTCAGTTTGAGAATACAGGAGGCTGGTTGCCAGTCTACCAGAAACAACATCAGGTGCCTTACAATCTTCGGAATCTGGCAAAAGGTTCAAGTCGAAAAGCGACCAAGAATAGGTTTCCACCACTGTCCTTCAGGAGTTCAGTGTCTTCCTCCAGTGAAGCTGCTTTGGACAATCTCTCAGTTATGGACTTTCCTATGCAGTGTCCAAAGGACACTGCCAGAAGGCCCTTGAACCCTCTTTTCAGTTCTCAAAGCTGTGGGGAATTGTCTTCTCATGACCTTCAAAATTCAGGTTACATGGTTATCCCGCCTGATATCCAGACCCCAGAGCAGTCCCCTGTGAAGGACAGTGGGCATATTTCCACAGACCAGAGACAGCATATGAGAAGGAGCTGCCCCCTAATGGATCCTCCCAAGAGCCCAGATCCTAGCCCTGTACTAGTTGCAGACACACCAGAGGAGAAATATGGACTGAAGGTAACTTGGAGACGACGATATCAACTTCTTACATACCTCAGGGAGAAGGGAAAATTGAGCATGAGCCAGTTTCTTGTGAAGACATGAGTAGAACCTTGAAATATTGATCTCTTTTTACCAATAACTTGGATCCAGAAGGGCAGAAATTTACATTGCCCCATGGATGGTTTTTATAGTGCTGCTAAATCAATTTCTGGCCCTTGAAGATATCAAATCAACAGACTCAAGTATCATTTAGGACCCTTGTGGTCCTTTCTGTTGATTTAATAGGGAACCGTATGCCCCAGAATCATTATGTGAACTAAAGCTGAAGTTTCCTAATGTGTTTTTTGGTACTGTTAGTTAGCATATACAAACCCTTCTTTTTATATTTTTCTTCCTGCCATTTATCCAGTTTAAAGATAATTCATAGCAGTTAGAGGGAAAATGGTGGTACAATATTTTCAACAAATTGTAAATATGCACTTAAGGGTGGGAAGATAACTTTTAGAAAATATTAAAAATTACAAATAAATGCAGAAAACTATTAGTGAATGCTGCTTCTTTTTGCCTGTAGTAGGGCACTATTTCAATTTAACAAAATGCTTCCGCTCCTTAGGTGGTATAGGTGCCTGAAGAAAGGAAAGCCTCTAGCTGGTCAGGAGAGGGCAAGTTTGGGGTTGTCCTGATAGACTGGAGAGCTCAAGGTAGTCTAGGGCAGGTCTAAGACTGAGCAAAGGAAATTCAGTAGATGACCAGAGGAAGAGCAGATTTAGGCTGGGTGGAAGGGAAGGGAGTAAGCATTTATGAAATGCCTAATATATGTGCCAGGTGCTGTGCTAAGCACTAGGGCATAGCTGTGTCCCAATTTTCCAAGGCAGTCCAGATTTCAGGAAAGTGTATATGTAGTTAAGCTTTGCACAAATAATATCCTTTGTCAGACAACTGCTCTCATTTTAGATTAGGAAAAGAGAAGGGATATGGGTTTAATTTACAAACATTCTCTCATATGATCCTCAAAACCTTCGAGGTAAGTGCATTATTATTCCTGTGTTACAGTTGGGGAAACTGAGGTAAACAGATTAAGTGACTTGCCCAAGGTCTCACAGCTAAGTAAGTCTAGATGGGACAGAGCCCCATCCATTGGACCACCAAGACACTGGTGCTTCGAAGGTGGGCTTGGTGGTGGCCTGGATTCCTACAGAACAGCCCCAGGACTAGAAGCAGAGGGGGTGGGCCACGAGAAGAGAGGTGGCTATGTGACCTGGTGGAAGGCGAGCTGCGGACGCGTGGTGAGAGGGAAGGCTACGAGGTCTGCCGCCGTGCCTGCCCCTTGCGGGCAGCGGCTGCTGGGGGCGCCGGGGCCCGGACCCTTTCCTCTCCCCCACAGCCCGGGCGCCCAGTCCCAGGGCCGACAGCTCCCACGCAGGCGCTCTGCGCTCCCTCTCCCCTTCCCCTCCTTAGAAACCCTCCCGCATCGCTGGACCGGAGCGACAGCCAATGAAGCGGCAGTGGCGGCGCTCAGGACCAATGGGGGTTGGCGGTGGTGCGGGGTCCGGTTGCCAGGAGGCGGGCGGCGGCGGCGGCGGCGGCGTCGTCGGGAGCCGGGGTTGGGACCGCCGGGACTGGATACCGCTCCCGCTCTCCGAGCGGACCGGCATGGAGGCGGCGCGCAACAGGCTCGGGCCCGGCGGGGATAGGTCAGCGCTGGGGAGTGGTCGGTCTCCTCCTGGGGTCTGGAGAACGGAGCTTGGCTGTGGAGATCGGGGCTGAGCGGTCAGGCCTGGGGGGCGAGGGCCGGGGAGGCTCGCGGCGGGCCCGGGGGAGGGGAGGGGCGCGCCAGGAGGCGAGGAGCCCTGGGGAGCCGGGGCGGGCCGGCCGCGCCGCCCCCACCTCGGAAGCTGCTCCTTCTTGCCCGTTCTCCGCCCTGAAAAGGGGGGTCGCATCTTCTAGTTCTGCCGGCGCTAGGCCTCTTTTTTTTCTCGTTGGAGGATAAAACGAGGCTCTGCTTTCAAGAGATGCTGTATCCAAATAACATCAATAAAATAAAACCAAGTGTGTTCGTTTTTAAGGACGTCGAGGCAGAAGCGTTGTTGGGTAGGATTTAGTAACTGACCCTAACTTCGAAGCTTTTTGGACGTTACCAGGAGGCTGAAAGTGCAAAATTAGTTTGCAAATATAAAGTATTATTAGTTCAGAATTATTCGAGATCTTTGTGTACAGTATGTGCGTTACCCACACCCTTTGCTTTTCCGTCAGAGGGAGAGTTGGGGAAATAAAATCATCTGAAATCTGTTTTCCTTTGTATAACTTACATTTATACAGCCTGTCAGTTTGAAAAGAACTTTCCCCATAACAGCTCTGTGATATGGGTAGTGTAATGATTAATTACTCCTATTTTACATTTAGTAAACTGAGGTTCTAAGATTAAGTGGTGTATGCTTGGTCTTCAGTTTTGATGCTTTCCACGATGCCAGATTGCTTTCTTTATGAGGTGTTGAGAGGGCAGCCTGAGACTTGAGAAGGTTGAAATCTTTGGAGAAAGACATTTAGCTTATCTGTAAACCTAAATCCATGTGTTTCCTTACAGATAAAGATCTGGTTCGTATAAATTTTAATTAAATGCAATCAGAGAAGTTGAATACTTCCCCTGCAATTTCTCCTTCCTTTCCAAGCACACTGATTTCCAGGAAGCTGTGGATGCAGCTCCTTTGGACAGAAAAATAAATAAATTAGTGAACATATTTTAGAGAGTACGTTTGGCTAAAAATGGTACTTAATAAAAGAAGATGGGTCCTTTTTCCTCTACTTCTTACTGAAGGGTAGGTACAAGGAACTATGCATAGTAGGTGTTCAAATATTTATTGAATGAATATTTAAATACTCAAGGATCTTTGATTTCATTTGGTATAAGTACTCCCTCCACTGATGAAGATGACAATTCCTTTCACTGCTTAATAATTTATGTTCATGATGAGTTGCTCTGAATAGACATAATGCTTGTAGGAAGGGTAGAGAGGAAGAGATAACCCCTTCTTCAGTCAAGTTCCATTCATTTGGCATTCCCAGAAACCTATTCACTGATTTAATTATTTATTTTATATCCACACTTTTTTCTTCTTAGACTTCATTGTATTTGGAAAAGGATGAGAAATATTCTACTTCTCTGATTGCATTTATTGAGTGAATGCAAGATACCTCACACATAGTAGGTATTCAGATATTTATTGAATGACTAAAACTTCAAGCATCTGTGGTTTCATTGGTTTGAGTGCTCCCTCTGTTGATGTAGATGACAATTCCTCTCACTGCTTTCTTTAATAATTTATCTTAGTGTATTGCTGTGAGTAGACTTAATGGTATTGCTGTGACTAGAAAAAAATTGTGTTCTGATGTTCATCGTCCTGGTGATGAACCTCTCAAGACTTAGCTAGACAGACATTAGTCTGCTGGATGGATTAAAGTCTACCTTGGAAGAACCTGCTGTGCTAGAACCAAGATCATCACCCCCCACCCCCAAGCAGGACTTTGGTGGAGGTTTGAATGAATTAAAGAATTTAAAGTTTTATTACATGGGTATTAGTTAACGTTTCACATGACTAATGGCCTTTAAAAGCAGGTTTTTCTGATCCAGTAACCAGGAGGTAAAAGATTTTTAATTCCCTGAATCTGAAATCTAAAGAGATAATTTTTTGGAGGAGTGAAAAGGGAGAGAAGAGAGGAATGACAGGCAAGAGGGAGCAGTAGGGAGAAAAGAAAGCTTTTATGAACAATGCAGGAATGTCCACTGGAGACTGTTTTCTTAAAAAAAGAAATCTTACCTTTAAAAATGAAAACTGACACCAGAGGATAATTTTTTAATCAGGTAAGTTTTTTGTTTCTGCTAAGTAATAGTAGTATAGCTTTCTATTGCTGTTGAGTTCATCTGTGGCTTAGAGAGTGTGAACTGACTTTGGCTTTTAGGTTTCAGATTTTTTATTTTTTATCAAAGATGTGGACAAAGAAATGCTTTTCATTTCGGGGTGATAAATAAGGGGTTGGCTAGGTTCAAAAAATTACAGATGTATATTAAGAGGAGGAGTAATCCGTAACCTAAACAAAATTTGTACTTGGTCTGTTTTGCCTTGAAGTGGACATGTGCTTATAATAAATAGAAAAGTCTTCAAAGTAAAATAAACCTTCCCCAAATCTTAAATTAGAAGCCAAGTTTGCGATTTTGATAGGGATTAAATCACAGGAGCCTCTTGGGAATTGGCTGTTTTGTAGTATAAATTTCTTCCTCATGATAGGGCTTGGCTGAACCATGTTCTTTTGATGAAAGGAATCAGGATTAGTTGTGGCTCATTTTCAGAGCTGAAAATTCTTATAATGGAATTCATTCATCAGCTGTGATTTCTCTTTAGATGTTAAAAATAAAACTTCAATTTCTGCTGGGATTTTGCGCAAAGTAAACTTTTTCATTTTATTTCTCTCCCTTAGCTCCTCAGAGTTTCATCAGATTCACAAATTGTTGTTGCAAAATATACATCCCCCGTGTTTTAAAAATACTTAGTAAATTATTTTGATAGCAGATACAAAGTGCTACAGCAAATGGATAAAAACATCCATCCTGTTTGGGTTTTTCCCCAATTTTTGAGTCCTACAGAACTAGAAAGGTAGTTTCTGTGTGTTTAGTTATTTTTGTTCCTTGGCATTGTTAATGGAGAAAAATTGGACATTTCTGGGTCTCCTAACCTTTGATTTTGTGTAGCTCTACTGTTATCCATCCTTCTGTGTGAAATTATGTTGCTTCTTCTGTATTTGTTTCTCTCCAATTTGATGTTTCCCCTTAGTACAAAAAGTGAAAAATCTCTAAATCATTCAGTAGATTAGAAGCTTCATTGAGAATGATGATGATGATGATGATGATGATGATGATGATGATAGCTAACATTTATCTAGTGATTACTATGTGTCAGGTACTATGCTAGAGCACCTCACAACAACTCTGGGAGGTAGATACTATTATCTCCATTTCACGGATAGGAAAACTGAAGCTAACCGGTTAAGTGACTTGCCCAGGGTAAGATAGCTAGTAAGTGTCTGAGGCCTGATTTAAACTTAGGTCTTCCTGCTTCTAGGCCTGGCACTTCATTCATTGCTCCACTTAGGATTTGAGAATCATGCACACAATTAATTTAGTCTTTCTGCTATTTTGAAGTAGGGTAACAATGGGGGCAGCTAGGTGGCGCAGAGGATAGAGCACTGGCCCTGAAGTCAGGAGGACCTGAGTTCAAATGTGGCCTCAGACACGTAACACTTAGTAGCAGTGTGACTCTGGGCAAGTCACTTAACCCCAATGGCCTTAAAAAAAAAAAGTAGGGTAACAAATTGGCAAGGCTTTTTTCCTATGGAAAATCTGTGGCAGATTTATGTCTACTGCTTTTTATCTAGTCACTGGAAATAATCTGCCACTAAATCTACTGATTTTTTACCATATTAGGACTTTCTTAATGATTGTATAATGAATAAAGCTTTCTGATTCAGTTAAATCTTGAACTCTTTTCTGCCTATTAAGATGTTAATTTCTCTCATATAGATCAGACTATTAAAGTGAGTATCTAACACAAAGAGACAGCATAGTTTACAAGAACAGGTCAAGCTAGACTAACATTTTTTCTTGACAAGACTACTAAATTTGTATATGAGGGTAATACTGGAGGTAGAGTTTGCCTAGATTTATAAAACAAAATTTTGGTAAAGTATCTCACATTTTGTAGAAAAGATGATAGAGATTTGAACCCAGAAATAATACTATTAGATGGATTCTAAACAGTTAAATAGTTAGACTTAAAGAATAGTTGTGTCACTTTAACAGGCAATGTTTAGTGATGTGCTCCAGGGATCTTCACTTGGCCAAGATGGGTGATAATTCAGCAAAGAATACTGAGAAGGCATAGTTAGGAGGAGATAGGTAGGAGAAGAATCAAGAGAGAGGAGTGTCCCAGATAGGGACAGTATCCACAGAGAGACTAGGAGAAGAATGGTCAACCTGGTCAAAAGCTGCCAAGAAATTGAGTAGGATGAGAGCTGAGGAAAGGCCATCAGTTTGGCAGTTGAGATTGGTGGAAACCTTGGAGCAGTTTCAGTAAAGTAGTGGGCTTGGAAGACAAACTTCAAGGAGTTAAGTGAGTGGAAGGTGAGGAAATGGAAGCAAGGCTTATAAACTTCAAAGAGTTTGGAGGGAATAGCAGGATTAAAGAAGGTTTTGCTTTTGTTTTCTTTAAATAAGGGAAATATCTGGGCATGTTTGTCAGCAGCAGAGAAGAAGCCAGTGGATTGGGTAAAAATGAAATTGCTGGGGGCAGGGAATGATTAAGGAGACTAGCTCCTAAAGGATGTGGGAGAAAATTGGTTCAAGACCTAATTAGAGGAATTTGTGTTGGCATACCTTCCTTAAAGACTTGAAGAAATAGGGGATGAAGTAGAGAGGTTTCAGGGTAGCTTACAGTGTATAGACTCCCATTTTTTTTCTGTAAAGTAAGTGATGAAGTACTCTGAGGAAAAAGGGAGAGGTAGGTGACATGAGGAAAGGTTTGGAACAGCTACTGTAGAATGTGTGAGATAGTGTCAATTAGGGAAGAATAAAAAGATGTCCATGAAACATTGAAAACCTAATTGGCAGTTGCCTTTCTCTAGCAGTCTTAATCAACATTTTAGT